TTTTGGGACTCCAGCTGAGACTGAGTCCCTACTGTGCTGTGTCCTATTATTCACATGGTTCAAACAGGCAAGAGAGATAGAAGGGAAGGAAAGCAAGCATCATAATCCTTGTGCTGCAGATGGGGAACCCAAAAACTTAGGTCTAAATCTATATTGGCTTTCAGGTGCCTAGCTCTCACTGATTGCGAAGGGAGTGGGGCACCCAATAGCTCTGGGCATCTGAGCCTTAGTGACATGGAAGAGAGCACTGTACTGAGACTCCTGGTGGTCTCGGGTGAACTTTTAGTATTGGGCCCCCCTTCACCAGAGATAATAATAACAATCATTATTTTCACGCCCCCTTTCTGGGTGAACCAGTTCGCCCGTGCCTGTGTCCGGCCCTGGCCCTTGGTGATATAAGGAGTCAATGTTAGAGTAAGAACTTGAACCCAGGTCTCCCAGAGCCAAGCCTATTTATGGGCTGTAACTGCATGGGTAGCCTTAGTCTGTGAGCTCAGGACCTGTTTTTTTTTCAGTGGGGGCAGTTGAACACCCATGCATGCCTCCAGCTGATTTCAGCTGATGCTCATCACCCTCTGATGATCCAGGGCTCTGCTGTCCCAAAGCAGCCACAAGGCAAAGCACCCCCAAGCAGAAACCGCTCTGGAATAGAAGAGCTGCTTGTTGCAATCCTTTTGCAGCTGCCCCGGGGCAGAGGGCAATCATGGGGACAGCTCTCCCAGCTGTGGGCACTAACTGCCCAGGCACATCATCAGGCAGCAACCAGCATTAAATAGGAAGTTGCTGAAAATACCTGAAACTCAACCACACTAGTGCCCTGGCCACGGCTCACCAGGGGAGCATTTAGTCTCAGTAAATAAACCTCCCAGGATGATACCACATGTCTTCTGGTTGCCCTCTAGGCCCCAGGTGATGTATTACAGTTTATAAACCTGCTACTGCCTCCTATTGCCTGAGTTTCTGTAGCATGAGCAGTGGCACCTCATGCTATAGCACCAGAATTTTAGTCCCTACTGATATTCCTTCCCCATCTTTAACCCCCGACCCCGCGCTCACCTTCACTGTTTGCTTTTCGCCAAGTTAGAAGGAGAAACTTTCTAATTGGCAATTCCTTGAGATCTCTCCTCACCCACATCAGGTCAGTCCGGTTCTTCCAGCCTGGAGGTTATTCTGCAGTTTGCTGGCAAAGGTTTCAAGCCATCTCATAAGTCTTTCTGTTTCTCTTCGTTTAAATGCATTGGCTTGCATCCAGCTGTAATAATGAGCGATGACACTGAGATTAGAGTTTAATAAGTGTCAAGACAAGAACCTCTGTTTTGGCCACTTTAATTTAGGGGAAGTGGTAAAATAGTCAAAGCCATCCCAGGGCTTGATGGCATCCCTTCTCCACCCTCCCTAGCTACAAGTTCATTTTACTATCTATTAGCACCTCTCACTGCAGAGTCCTGGGATCCTGAGACTCCAGTATAGCCATTAGATGACATGGATGACAACAGGGGAGTGCTGGGAAGGGGGCACATAAGCCCCCAGCTGTTCCACCGTAGTCGGGCTGCAGAGAACAGCACAGGTTTCCTGGCTGTCTGGCACCTGTCCTAGCAGCAGGAAGGGCTGCGAGGAAGGTGCAATGGGGCTGGGTGTGGGGAAAGCCCAGGGCTATCCCAGTCCCTGCCTCTCCCAGCTGTGGTACTGCGAGGAGCTAGGCAGAAGCCCTGGTTGCGTGGGAGTGCCCAGATACTCCGGTCCCAGCAGGAGGTGCCACAGGGAATGATTTAGAGACAACTGCATTGAAGCTACGTCTTCTAATTTTGGGGGACTCCATGCTGTGACTCGGTGGCTTCCTCCCCCGCAAGCTGTCTCATGGCTTGAAGGAGGGCTTGGTGTGTGCTGAAGTGCTTCAAGTCTGGCTGCAGCCACATCCCCTGCCCCGTGGGACTTGGATGCATGGAGTATGAATGGGTCAGCCAGTCCCTGTGCAATCCGTTCCTGTCGCTGCCCCATCACTCACTGGCGGGCACCGACCTTGATGCATGATGGCCACAGGTCCTGAGGTGGAGGAATGGTGCTTGCGTGGAGGGAGGAAGCAAAGCCTGGGAGTGACAGAGCAATTCATTCCCCACACAGAGATGAAAGCCCTGGGAAGGCTGGGGTGGAGCTCTCCTGCATCCAGCGTGACATAAATTATTGGAGGACCCGAAAAACTGGGTGTGATCCGGGGATGGGTGATCAAACAGTGCCGGCTGCAGCCTTGCGCAGAGGAGATGAATGACCCCTTCGGCAGCAGCCAGAGCTCCAATTTGCTGCCCATTTGCTGTGCAGTTTACCCACAATTCGACTTGTCACGGCCACAAATCACTCAGGAAAGTATCGCCGGGGTTTGCATGCAACGGAGAGACAGCGCAGAAACGTGCATGACGTGACACAGCGCTGATCCTCACACGCACTGTAAAGACACCATGACTACATGCACAACGTGACGCAGCACGAGTTCACCACACATCCACCCTGCAGCCACAAGCAGGCTGACACACACCTTAGTGCAACCTGATATGCACACACAGGGAAGGTCTGTGCAAAACACAGACAAGATCCGTGAGATCTCCTGCACTTGTGGCACACAGAAGAAATGACACAGATGTGCAACACATCCCCATACTCAGGTGATGCAACAGGCACAAATGCACCCCAGACACACACAGGTTGGCACGTGACTGGCTCAAACTTCCCTCTAACAGAGGCACAGGTGACATGGACCCAAATGACCCAAAATACAAGCAGCAATGGTAGAAGAGCTTGGAGCTTATATAGCACAAAAGCTGAGTCCTGGAGAGACAGGGATGTAGTGTGTGAGTCTCCAGTGATCCAACCCATTATTAGAGAGGCAGACGCTTGCTTGGCATGGAGGCGGGTAGGCAGTGCTGGCTGGAAAAAGTCATTATCACAAAGGACTTTGAAGAGGAACTGGGGGATGCCAGGAAGATGAGTCTGGCTGTAATTTAGTGCTTGCTCCAGTAGCTAGTTTGCAGGCAAAGGTCTCATTGAAGTCGGTGGAAGTTTTAGAGACTGGGATCCCGAACACTCTGTCATAAGCTATTGGGGTATTTTCCTCTTTGGTCCTTAGGGTGACCTATAGAGCTTTGAAAATTCGCAAGTTGATGCCAAGGTATGTGGGCAGGGGAAGACAGCGGGTCACATATGGGGATATTGCCTGCTTTCTCAGTTCGCCATTTGGGAGAAAAAATTACTCTGATTTTCTTCCACATACACCTGGTCATAAGGCCCCTGGAAGAGAGGCAGGACAGCGTACCCAAACCCACGAGAGAATTTCAATATGGAGCCACTTTTGAAGCGTGAATGATCAGATTGTTCCTCCCTCGGCTTCCACAGCATCCAAACACGGGTGCGACACAACTATTCTAGCTTGGTGTGTGCATTGTAGTGTTATGGAGGAGAGCTCCAAGAAGGGAATAATGAGGCAATTCCTGTTCATCTGGGAGTTTTCTGTACCACCCTGCCTTCATTTGAACAAGCCACCGACTTCAAAGGAGTTGCTTCTGATTTTCATCTGTGAGCCAGGTTTGCGACCGACTGATCACAGTGGTCTCAACTTGTAGCCAGGGAAGTTTAGATCAGATATTAGGAAAAACTCTGTCACTAGGAGGGTAGTAAAGCACTGGGACAGGTTACCCAGAGAGGTTGTGGGGTCTCCATCCTTGGAGGTTTTTAAGACCCAGCTGGATAAATGCTTGGCTGGGATGATCTAGTTGGGGCTGGTCCTGCTTGGAGCAGGGGGTTGGACTAGATGTGACCTCCCGAGGTCCCTTCTAAGCCTCATTTTCTATGACTCTATGATGAGGCCTAGTGTGGATGGAGGAAGCATGTCCAGGACATGGCAAGAAGGTAGATAAGAAGTGGTTCTCCTCCATTCTGGGACGGTCTCTTCCCGGCCCTCTCATCTCTAACAGTGATATTCGTCTTCCATGATGCACAGCACCTGTCCCATATTTGATACAAGATTCTTTGGGGGTGGGATATTATTTTCTCTGAACACCTGCAACATTTCACAATTTGTCTTGTTTGAAGGCAGCAGTGGCATCACCGTGATGCTGCAAGGGAAGCAACGTGTCCGTGGCATAGACGTATTCATCTCTCTGCTGTGTAAATAGCCCCCTCCAAAGACTAGGCTGGCAACACCTCTGAAGAGATTGATGAAGCTTCCTCCACCCAGGCTGGTGGTTCGTACATCAACAACAGGCTGCTGCAAGGCATTCAGTGTCCACTCCCAACCTCAGACAGTCTCTTTGTCATCACAATTAATGGGGGCAGAGAAAGGGAATTCCAGTTCCCACACTTCACAGCTGGCTTCATCCCTGCTCCATGCTACGAGATGCACCATATGGTACCCAGATGCCTCGTACACTGCTGTGGGGCTTGGAAATTGCCACCCAGTGTCATCCACCTGGCAGGAGCGACTAGCAGCTAGCCTGTCTGACCATCCACTGCAAAGAGCTACTTTTCTGTCATGTCTGTTCCATTGAGGGAGAGAGACGGGCATCAGATCTGCAGCCCAGAAGGCCACAGGCCTGGTTATTCTCCTGCTTACACCAGGAGCAAAGGCCATGGAAGGCAAAGGAGCCATCATGGGATGTTGAAAAGAGAAGGGGGCCTGGAGATCCACGCACAGAAAAAATACAGGGGTAACTTCAAAGAGACGAGAGTCCTTGCCACTGTGGCAAGCTGGGACCACCCTCTAGGAGTGAGAGAAGATCCACTTGGGTGAAACATGAGTCCAGACTCAAGTTTGGAGGTGGGAGCAGAAACCCGTGTCGGGGGTATAGGTTGTAGCTGTGTTGGTCTAAGGACATAGGCAGACAAAGTTCTTTGGGTAAATCCCATATCTTGTATTAGACCAACTAAAATACTTGGAAAAAATTCTTCTTTGCAAGCTTTTGGGTACAAATACGCTTCAGCAGGCAGATGGAGCATCTGTAGATGGTCTGTGCTCTTCCTGGATGCAGAAGTAAAGCAGCCAGAGGCCAGTACTTATGCAAGAAAGCCAGTCGGTGAAAATGTACATTGAGGTGGTCAACAGGTGGGAGAGAGGTGCGGGTGTCAGGAAGCAGCATCAGACTCCTGTGGTCTGCAGCCTTGGAGGAAGGCAGATCTGTCAAAATGCAGAGAGAACGCAGGGAAGACCACGCCACTCATTTTACAGGGCTCATCATAACACAAACCATAAGCAATGAAGACATGGGATGTACCTGAACCAGCCAGGGAGGGAGCATACAGCACACAGGAATCTCACGCTGGCAGCAGTGGCATAACTCACAAAAAGACTCTATCGGTCAACGCATCACAAGGACCCGGAGCAGCTGTGCAGACCTGCGATCTGCCTACTCACACCGGAGATGCGACATGTCCTCCACTTGAGCTCCCAGGCACAGAGCATCGTGCCACAACCCAGCCTGGAAGAAGAGCCGTTGGAATCGATACCTGACAGCAAGGTTTTTCTTAGTGCTTTGAGTTATAGAGCACATAGACTAGGGCAAGCCTTCTGCACCTTATCCCAGCCCTTCACTAGGCCTGGTTAGGGATTCATTGCCATGCAGGACACAGCAGGAGCCAATCAGTTTCCAATTAGAGGCAAGACGATTACCTTCCCCCATCTCCCCATATACAAAACAGGGTGTAGAGATGGAAGGACAACCTCTGTGGGGCTGCTGCCCCCACATCTGGGTAGGCAGAGATTAGGGAAAAGGGTGAGATCTTGGCTCTTCTCCATGATACCAGCCAGCTGGAACAAGGATGCATATGGAGAAGCAGGAAAGGAATGGCATAACAGTTACCTCCTTCCCCTGGTTATGGGCAAGATCAGGTGGAGGACACTGCCTTCACCCAGCAGACCATCCAGCTGGCATGGTGAAGGCACACTGGTGTCTGTACCAAAGGGTGCCCAAGGGAGGGATGCGACTGGCTTCGCATCCAGCTGCCTTGCACCTCCCCCCGCCACCCCCCGCCTGTGCTGTGCTACTTGAACCAGAAAGGTTTGGGGTGAATGCAACATCCAAAGGCAGACCCCAGAGATCACTAAACAAGCACTGAGCAGACAACAGTAGGGGGAAGAGCTGGCAGGGCCAGGGCTGGAGGGGACACCACCCATTATAACCAATGAGGGGCTGGTCATTGCAGCGCCATGGAGGGTTTTTTAGTCTACTTTTCCTTGTTTTTCAATAAAATTAGAGCTAGGCCAGATGCAGAAGGTCTTACACTTGGGGAGTTTGGCTCTGTACATATGCTGAGAAGTAGGAAGGGGACACATTTATAGCCTGAAGCCTGACAGCAAGCACCTACTAGGCTTGCCCTGCTCCACGGGGCTCGGAGGGGAGGTGACAGGAGGACATGCCCAGGTTACTCCCTGACAGGCTCCCGGCCCGCCTCTGATGAGTCCATCTCCACTCCTCGTGTCACATTCGTGCCAACAGAGAGATTCAGAAGGCAATTCCTTACTTTTATTAGCAAATTGCCCTGGATGGATGATTCAAGCAGTGTTCAGCTCCCAGCAGGAAGGTGTCAGCAAAACAAAAAAAAAGAAAAGGTTCTTTCATGTAGATAGATAACTGCAAATAAAAGTAGAGAATTATTAGCACTTAATACTTTTTTTACTCCCTAGCACTTTCCCCCTGAAGTCTCCAAGTGCTTTCGATAAACTAATTAAGACAGCAGGGGGTCCAATTTTCCCCTTCTTGTTAAGGGAAGAAAGATAGGCTTGTGATGAGCCCCTTGCCTGCCAGTCAGGAGATCGTGGCTCAGCGCTCAGATCTGCCGTGGGCTCTTCGTAATGTGTTATTTAAATACCTCACATCCCCTCCCCATTTTCAAAATGGAGTTTCTTCCTCCTCTGTCTTTATTAGGCTTCCCGCTAGCCAGATAAAGGGCAGTCCTGTGTCTTTACAGCACCTGGCATGGTGGGATCCCATGCAAAGTCAGGGCCTGGAGCTGTTGCTCCGACACCTGCAAGAGGAATAATGAAACCTTTCATGAACTCCCCTTTCTTTCAAAGGGACTGATTCCCCCCTGCCTTCCTGTGTGTGGCCCTATTTTATATCTGCTGTGTAACCAGTATTGCTGACCCCAAGCGGTCAAATATCTTGAGCCAGGCCTCCAAAAAAGAGCAAGAGCAAGAGCAAGAGCAAGAGCAAGAGCAAGAGCAAGAGCAAGAATTTTTTTAAAAGTAATTAATATGGGGTGCTTTTTATTTGCTTCCTGGGCTCTTACCTCTATTTGAATTGCTTTTCCGGGCTTCTCTCTACAATCATGAGAATCATCTTAATAAAAGCTCAAATTTTCACCAAACCTCAGGACTCCAGAACCTGGAACTTTAAGAAAATACCATATTTCTAGGCTAGTGACACTGTGTGCAGGACTATAGTGTGCCATGCAGGAGGGAATTGGCCCCCTAGCATTTTCCCAATGCTGCTCCCCACCCTGGCTCCATGGTGGGCACATCCATAAGTGTGCCTGTAGGATTTGTGTGCGTGGTTGTGAGTCAGGCTTTAGTTGCTTGCATGGTCCAGATGCCTCCGAATCCTGAGGGCAAGCCTGTGCTGCCTTTGGGATAATGGACTGGGGGGAGCAGTCACGTTTTTGCTGTCACAGTGTGTTGGAAGGCCATTACACTGGGCCTGGCCACGGGCTTTGCTGCTTAGACTAAGCACCCTGCAGCCCCTGGGCCCCATAAGTCTCCGGATGTCCACTGCAGCCACATCGATCCCTATGCTATAGCTTCCCTTGTCATTTCAGAAGCTTCTTTATGTCTTTGGCTTTTAAATCCCTTGTAAACATCAGGCTTTACCAATGGTTCAGAGAGGAACTGATTCATAACCGGGTGCTGAGCTGGTACCTCTGCCTCTCAGTTCCCCTCCCTCCAGCTCTGCCCCTTTCCAATCTCTCCCTCTTCCGCTGGTTTTTTTCCAGCCTTAACCTCCCTTGGGTTTTACCTGCTCTCTCTCTCTCTTTCTTCCCCCCACCCCGGTTCTTGTCCACCCACCCCATCACTAGCATCCTTCTTCCCTCTTCCCAAACAGAGTCCCTTGTTCCGCTCTCTCTTCTCCCTCTGTCTTCCCCTGCCCTCTTTCCCCAGCTCCCTTTCTTCTTCTCTCCTATCCTCCATTCATTCCCCGTGCTCCCTTGGGGCTCTGTTCACTGTTTACTGATCCTTGGAGTGGTAAATCTCTTGCCATTTTAATGCCTGTTTTCCATCAGGGCAAATTGCATGGAGTAAATTTCCTTTCATGCCTTCTGCCCAGAATATGACTTTACAGGCACCGAACTGCACTGGCAATATTAAATGGCAACTTAGCAGCTGGCCACTACTGCTGGCAGCTCTGCCTCCAACTAGCTGAACTACAGGCACTTGCCCAGTTTTCAGGGCTGCAGGCACTGCTCACGCACCCACTGCGACAGGGGCCGTGGGACTGACGGGGCTGGCCTGGCCATGGGGAAAGCAGGGAAAGGAAGTTCCTGGATGTGGGGTGGGGGGGAAGCTATTCAACTCTACTGTGCGTGATACCATGCAGCAGGGATGCTCAAACTAAGCAGCCACAGGGCCTGTGTTGGATATGGATGGCGACCTAATAAATATTATTGTTAACGACCTTGCCTAATATTTGGCATTGTTCTTCTCGTGGTACTGGCATTTGAGTCCAGAAGCTTCAATATTTGAGACAGGGAGGACACAGGCTTTCCCAGTTCATGAATATTTGCAAGCCCAGGTTATAACAAAAAGCATCTCTCTTACACACACAGACAGACAAGGCTCTTTGGGTAGATGTGATATCTTTTATTAGACCAACTAAATAGTTGGAAAATTTCCTCTTTGCAAACTTTCCGGTAGACCAGCAGATACAACTAACACCCCCTATTACACACATACACAAACATGCAAAAGATATTTTGTGCGTGTGTACACACACACACACAATTATGTGCACATATATACACACACACAATTATGTACACGTATATACACACAAACATACATGTGCACATATATACACACAAACATACATATGCATATATATCTATATATGCGCGCTCCAGTATGCAAATATGCGCATGCATAGATTTATTTTACATATTTATATTTGCATAATGAAGCTCTGAAAAAAAACTGGTTTGGTTCAATTGATTTATTTTGTTTCAACACATTTGATTTTTGTTTTGGTTTTTTGCCTCTTTGATTTTTCATCTTTTTATTTCCTTTAATTACTTCCAAACTGAAGCAATGCTTCATTTAGGAAATGTTAAAATAGGATGTTTTGCATGTTCAAGTTCTTTCCTTAAACAAGAAAACTGTCAACACTGATCCACTCCTGGAAGTTTCTTTTTAAACAAAGTGCTTTTTTCTGATGAAAAAAATGGTTCTTCTAAAAATGCTCAGCCATGTCTATTCAACAGTAGAGCTACAGGAGTAATTCCATTAGCTGGCAACAGATTAATCACTAGACACACGCCCCTCTTGGTGTGAGTTGCATATGTATCGGGAAGGTTGGATAGCACAGTGTTTCTATCCCCCTGGGACAGATAACAGCCCCTTTCCCCCTAAAGGGGCACACAAGCACACTGCACGTAACAGCTGCCATTCCTGAGAAATCCATCAACATTTTAGCATAACCTCTCAACCTTTTTAGACTCAAGGCACAGACTCGAAGCACAGCTCGGAAAATATCCGCTTGTAGTTTTCACCCTTTCTTTTTTTTTTTTTTTTTGACCGCAGAAAAATAATAGAACATTTTTTTCTGTTGCAAAGAACTCGGAAAGACGGCGACTATGGATTGCTATTTGAAATCCCTGGGTTTATCTTGTGAATCATGCTCGTGAACCTCAGTGCTAACATTGTTTGGCACCCTTGAAAGGAGTTTAAGACACCCCAGGGTGCCATGGCACCTTGATTGAGAATCAGTGCTCTAGTCAAACCCCAGCACGGGGCCTCCTTGCATTCTGATGATCGTCAGCCGCTGTATGACTGCTGAGGTTGCTGCAGATAGCAGCCTTATAGCCAGCACAGACCTGGGGGAGTTCATAAATTCCTTTGCTGCAGCCAAGAATTAGAGCCCTCAGTGACACAGCACTAGCACCAGTAATGAATGTTTCCATTAAAACAGCTCAATGGAAAACCAGGTGTTTGTCAACTACCTGCTTTCCATGGAGAACTTCAATTTTTCGGTTGGAATCTATTGCCCCCCCCCGAAATATCCAATACCTGCACATCTCAAGTAGAAGCAGCTCCTGCAGCGTCGTATGTCTGTCGTCACTCAGTTTTCAAGTTGTTGCCAAAAAGTCAACTGCCTGCAAAGAAAAGAACATGCATTTCCTTCCCCCCCCACATCTGCTATACATAGAAACTTTCGACTGAGGACGCACTGCTTTACAGAGGTGAATAAACATCACCCTGAGTATTTTGCAATGGAGAAACTGAGGCACAGAGAGGAAAAATGGCTTAGTTGAGCCTCTCAACAAAACCAGTGCGTGCTGGCTTAATTTTAACTTGCACACTTTTGCTCTGCTTCTCTGTTGCTGGTTGTAGGCACTGTGTTCTTCTCCCCCTCCGGCCCCCACTCATAGTGTCGTGTGACTGCTCTTTGCTAAAGAATGACCAAAAATGATCACCAAGACACCAGAAGGATGAAGTACGCCCTTGGGCAGAGCCTGAGCACCCCATATACATCTCACTGACTTACTAGTGGGCTTTGATGTGGGGAAGGACACCTCCTGTAATGGATGTGGGGTAGCATCACCCCGCACCCTGTTGTTGCATACATGGTTTACACCCCGTTGTAGTGGTCACAGCCACAATTAGGGACGAGGGCATCTGGCAACTAAATCCAAACATAATTGTGCAAGGACAACACCCAGCACAGTGTGACCCTGATCTCAGACTGGGGCTTCTGCACATGACCGCAGCGCAAACCATAATTAGCAACGGCAATGAGCCAAATGGTTTTCCTGTGGGTTGGGGTCTGTTCTGGCTTTGGATGGCCCTGCAGACGGGGCCAAACCTCCTCTGAGCTCCCCAGCTCACCTTTAGCAGGATCTTCTCTCTTTTCCTTGTTTTGCAGACTGACAAATGGGCAGAAAACAGACTCCTGGCTATTACCTGTGTGAGCTGCCCGCTCCCCCCTCTCCCCTCAGCAATGACTGAGAGCAGAAGCAGCAGGAATGGCGTATAAATTTTGTCTCTCCCTTAATAAATACCTCTATTACCTAGCTGATTCTCTCAGCGCTCTCCGGCTGGCTGGCACAGTCTCTCTCTCCCCCTCTCTCGCTTGGCGGCTTTCTGCCTGCCAGGCAGACGTGATAAACAGCGATTCTCATTTCCAGAGGGAATAAACAGCAGGACCTAATCAGACCGGGGATGTCTGTTGCAAAGGACTCTAGCCCGAGTCTTGCTGCACTCTCTAATGGTCCTGGTGCTCACAGGAGAAAAATGTCCCCCTCCCTGGGCCCAGATGGAGCGTCTGGGTCCCAATGGAGAACAGGCTGGGGCTGCTCATGGCTTTGGCACCAAGATGCGGGGAGATGCCAGCTCCTGGTAATGATTTAATTCATTCTGGAAACTGAAATGGATTCTTTCTTTTCAACTTTATCTGGTGAGAGCTCTGCGCTCTGCTCTCCTTATGCTCCCTGTGCTGCACTTATTGGTCTTGCTCTAGCCATTAAGGGGGGCTCTACAGGCTTAACCCTGCTGTTTGGGACCAACAAATAGGCCTTAACATAGGCAGCAGTCAGGCCAGGGCATTGGGAGCCCAAAGAAGTTAAAACTGGGCAGGCCCAGGCTGGGACCAAGAAGGCCAGAGTGTCCCACAGGGTTTGCCTGTGGTCCAGCAGTCTCAATCAGGCCCCCCTTTCACATTCACTAGAGCCAGGTCTGGTCCATCTCTATCAAGTGTCCCTGTGCTCCACAAAGAGCCAGTGAAATCAGCTGTATACACAGTCCAGATAAGTTATAAGAGACCGAACGTGACCATAATGTCCATGTTCAGGGGGCTCCGCTCTGTGGTTGCTAACGATGCCTTGGCACTCGCTGCTATGGTAGGGTCATTAATCCTGAGGTCTGGCTGTACAGCCCTTAGGAAAGTGATGTTCCACCCACCTAAAGTATTCCCCCTTCTGCTCCCCACTGGAGAGTCTTCCCCGCTCCTCCCCAGAGCTGCCTAGGCTCAAATATTGCCGATTCCCAAAACTGCCATGGCCCGGTCCCAAGGCAGAAAGGCACTCCATTGCTGCTTCCAACAGCCTGTCAATCTTGGATTGGCCTCATCGGACGTCTTCAGGCCTGTAGATAAGACAGTCATCGAAGACTACCATCCTTGACTTACTTCACGGTCAGGGCGGCTACTCCACGGTCAGGGCAGCTAGGGTCTGGAACCAGCTTCCAAGTGAGGTGGTGCAGGCTCCCACCCTGGGGGTTTTTAAGAGGAGGTTGGATGACCACCTTACTGGGGTCATTTGACCTCAGTGCTCTTCCTGCCATGGCAGGGGGTCGGACTAGATGATCTGCTCAGGTCCCTTCCGACCCTAGAAACTATGAAACTATGACTGCGAGGGACTGCTGAAGAAGCAGCGCCGCTGCATGTCGAGGATCTCCGGTTCCCCATGACCCGCTCAGTGCAATCTGTGATTGAGAAGCTCGTGGCAAAGCCATGTCAGATACCAGGCCCTTCCAACCCCCAGTTGTTCTGCATCGGCTCAACAGTGCTGGAAGTTGGGAAGCGCCCCTTTAAAAGGATCTTCGTGCAGGTACGAGGCTGGTGAGTAGATACGTTTTCAGATCCACTGATGCCCAAGCAGGGCAAACGCAGGGAAAGAGCAGGCTAAAGCCAGCAGCGCTTTTGCAGATGAGAGGTGGCAGAGCTGGGAAGAAGACCCAGCCTGGGACAGCGGCGGGTGCTACAGCCCGCGAGGTGCAACAACCAGATTGGAATAGCTGGAGGCACAGCCATGCTGGGATTGCACTAAATGGACCTAGGATTGAGAGCAGGAGGTCAGTGTAGCAGTGAATTGCTCATGTTGAGAGGAAGCCCAGGGCTTAAATGGCAGGAGCTGGGGGGAAGGGAAAGGGGGGGGACTGATGAGAGGAGCGCAGTAGCAAAGGGTGCTGCCAGCTGCAGATAGCTAAGCTTGCTTTGCCCACATCTATTCTCTGCTAAGCTCGAGGCGGTGCTGCCAGTCTCAGAGCACCAAATTAACCCCCATGCCCCAGTTTTGATTGACTGGGGACAGGGTCTCTGCCAGAGGAGGTAGGGGAGGGGGGGAGATGTCCTGGATCAAATAGCTCAGGCTGTACCACCTGCCTAGCAGAGATCCCTCCACCCTTGGCTGTAGTTAGAAATAACAAATTCTGTGCTGTCTTGCTGAGGGGAAGATTTAGCCATTAGCTCACCAGCATGTTGCATGGAGCATAGAGCTGCTGCAGTTTCAAAAGGAGGCTACCCACCGCAGGGAGGGGAAGGTTATAGAGAGGCCATTGCTAAAAAGACATGCGTTTCCTTCCCCTGCAATCTGAGACTGAGGGCTAGATTACTAACAGTATGTGGTGCCAAACTCTCATTGCCTTCAGCGGGATTCGGGTACCTAAATCCCTTTACAGTCTTGCCTCAGCTCCATCAGGTGATACGTTAGTACCTCTCTGTTGGGGCTTTACCCGAGGCAGCCTAGGCCCACACATGGACCCTACACACAAGAAGGAAACTGCTGCTGTCTAGTTACTTTTCCCAATGACCAATGCAGGCAGGTTTGGATTCAAGCTCTGCTGGGAAGTGCCAAAAAGAGGCTGAGGTGCAAGGCTAGGCTCACCCCTGGGGTAAGCAGAGAGCTCACTGGAGCTACACCCTGGCTTGGTTCCTTACCAGGGGCCTTATCTCAGTGGAAGTCTCCGGCCGACTTGCTAGAAATACATATCAGGTCCAGGATCTAGGATCTAACCTACAGTGGATCATGTGGCTTCCCAATTTGCCCACTGCTGGCAAAAGGCCAGATGAGGCTGGCGGTAGGAGAAGGCTTCTCAGCTGCTGCCCGCTTCCACAAAGACAGGAAGGCTCCATCATGCACAGGAGATCTCATGTGTAGGATAGCAATGGAAAGCAGGGATTTTGGACTCCTTCAACCCCCAAAATGGTCCACAGCAGTGGAAAAACTGAGGGGACCCAACACATGAAGACATTTATGAATTTGTCTGGGTCTTTCTATTTCTTGCACCAGCTAAAGTGACGAGTGCTTGGATTTTAGATCCCTACAAAGCCTGTGTGCTCCACTGCCATGCATCCCTCCCTGAAGGAGTGTGAGCCCGGGGGCTAGGGTCAGCCCTGGTCCTTGGAGTCTAAGGCAATTGGACAGGAAGTTTCCTTTGTTGCGTTAGAGAGATCCTGTGCCCAGGACGCAAGGCAAAGAGGAAGACCCCATGCAGCAGCCTGCTCAGGAACGCTTAGACTTCTTAAGCTGCAGCGCTATGGGACTCAAACACGCAGCCCAGTGTGTTATACTGGGCTTGTGGGACACTGCTCATCATAAGCACTATCTTGGTTGTGCAGATGTGGACTTGAAGCCCAGAGAGCCCAAATGACCTGCTCACATAGGAAGTCTGTGGACTAGGACTAAGACTGTGGTCCCAGCACCGAAATAACAAGGCTAAGTTTCTTTTCTCTCTCTGACCACTTTCACAAGCTCCCTTCTACACAGCCTCACTAGTATTCGGGGTTTGGTGGGTCCAAAAATCAGGCAGGACAACTTAGCTTTGACCTGTGACATTGGCACGATGTGCCAGAGGGAGAAAATCAACCAGGACCAAAAGAACGAGGCCTTTAAACATCCTGCAAAGGGGTCAAGTCGCGTTGGATTCCTGCTTTGCTCTGCTCTCCGTTCCTTTGACTTCCAGCGTTTGTGAGAGGGCCAGCACCAGGTGGGGCTTCCCCTTGTGCAGCTGTCATGGCAGCTGGATTCGACGGCCTAACCTACACAGACAGAGACAGAACTAGGAGAAATGACTGGGCCTGGGGAATGTACTGGCAAAGGCAGCTGGAAATGCACTTGGACATAGCACGTGGGGTAAGCCAGGGCTCTACAAAGGGAATATGGACCAGTAGCTGGCAGGAGTGGGAGGGAAGACTCCTCTTGGCCAGGCATAGAGATCCGATTAGTCAAAGACACATCAAGCGCTAGCAGTGGGAGGCCAAACACAAGCTACTAAAACACATGCTTTGAAAAACACTGTGAAGTCAGCACAGCTATTTCTGCTATTCCTGGAGCTGTCTATTCCAGGGAGTGATTGGGCTGTTGCTATGAGCATGTGA